AGAGTGAAAAACTCCACAGATCTCACCTTTGGAAGCAGCCACTGCAGATGTACAGGGAGTCCTCTAGATTAGAGGGCAGGGTTAGCTCTGGGCATTTTCCTCCTACAAAAGCGAAGGCACACGTTAGATTCTCTAGCACAGCTGTTCCTTAGGGCATTTGAAAGCTCCCCTGCATGGCCACCCCTTCGCCATTTAACCAGAGAGTGAAAAACTCCACAGATCTCACCTTTGGAAGCAGCCACTGCAGATGTACAGGGAGTCCTCTAGATTAGAGGGCAGGGTTAGCTCTGGGCATTTTCCTCCTACAAAAGCGAAGGCACACGTTAGATTCTCTAGCACAGCTGTTCCTTAGGGCATTTGAAAGCTCCCCTGCATGGCCACCCCTTCGCCATTTAACCAGTTAAACTGCTGGCCAATTGGTCCGTGCCTTTCAAAGGGCACCCGGGCAGTTTACAGAATCTCGGCGGGTGACCATCACGCAGCTCCGATAATGGCAAGGCCCGGAGAGGCGTGCCACCCATGATTTTCAGGCCTGTGACGGAGTCATTTGAAGTCCAGCCACATGGTGCTTTGTGCTTACAGCACTGGGCAGCAAAGGGTTACAAGCCCGTCTCGTCGATTTCAAGACAGCTACGCCTGACTGACTTGGGTTGGTTACACAAAGCATTAGCAAAGTACTTGACATTAATTTAGGCAAAAAAAAAAAAAAACAAAAAAAAAACAAAAAACACCATATGGACATAAGTAAAATCTGTTCTTACCTACCAGCACAGTAATAAAACCTTGCCTTCTGGGTCTGACTGCTAGTCCTAAGACCAAGGAGCTTTATTCTTGTCTGCCTCCTTCGATGGTCACTGATACTCCAACTCCCTCCTAGCAGGGACCTGGCTTATCTGCGTACACTGGACTCCACACACAAGAGTCTACTCTCTCTCAGCTGTAGGAGCGTCTGAACTCGGAAGCCATTCGCGCTATGCTTGCTAGCAGCTCCTAGTAGCTCAACATCTGCATGGCTCCTGGATCTTTAAGCTACTTAGTGCTTGGCTCCTGGAGTGCCTTCCTCTGTGGTGGTTTGCTACCACGTCCTCAACGTTATCAAGCCATGCCAAGAGCATACTCCATGATTCCTGAGGTCTCTCGTCTCCCTCTAAGTTTAGGATCCACCTGCTATTGCAAACTCAGCCACATAAAACCCAACAAAACTAAAAACACAATTTTTTTTTTTTTTGCATTCCACATGAATACGCTTCATAATCATTCAACTGCAGAGCGCGGTTCGAAATATGCCAGCATGATTTACAGACAGGCTTACTTCAAGCAGATACCATGGGGCTGCAGTGCTCTTTATCAGAGGATTAAGAGGACAAGGGATTGCCTCCTGATTTGAAATACCTGTGGAATAACCACAGCGCACTGCACGACGCCCATGCGCTAGGGAACTAAAACCATACTTTTAGGCAGCTGTACAAGGCAGCTTCAACCCCAGTCTGTGTTAGAGGGCAACTGCAGAACAGATTGTACAATCCATGTTTAGTCATTACTAAGCTCAGGCCTTCACTATGTTGGAAGTTTAGAAGAGAAAAACGGGGCATCGGTTCAGTTTTTATCCCAACTACTTCAGCAGTTTGAATTTAGACCTTTAAACAGAGGCAGTAGAAAGTTAATATTCCTTCAAGAACAGGGCTGGGGGATTGTTCATCCCACCTGATCTCCAACCCTCTGACACAAGCCAGCAAAGATTTGATATTCCTGAAGAGCTACAGAAACTTTGTTTACATTCTAGGGCCATCTCCTAGGGTCAGTTTCTTCCTCTGCAGGTCCCCTTTAACACAGGCTGAAGCATGGTTAGTTACCAACCAGTTAGAAAAAGATTTAAAAAAGGGGGAAGTTCAGTTACAGCAGCAGGCTGTCTTGTGGACACACAGGTTTAAGACTGCCATGGGATCACACTGCATCATGCTGCAGCTCTG